ACCCCACCTGGCCTGTCCCCCTGACAGTGTCCCCCAAAGTGCCCCTGGGACCCCTGACAGTGACCCCCAAACTGTCCTTGTCCCCCTGACAGTGACCCCCAAAGTGCCCCTGGGTCCCCTGACAGAGACCCACGAACTGCCCCTGTGTCCCCCCCGACAGTGACCCCAAAAGTGCCCCTGGGACCCCTGACAGGGATCCCCAAACTGCCTCTGGGACCCCTGACAGGGACCCCCAAACTGTCCTTGTCCCCCTGACAGGGACCCCCGAACTGCCCCTGTCCCCCCTGACAGTGACCCCTGGGACCCCCGAACTGCCCCTGTCCCCTCCCCTCCCTTCCCAAGGCTTTGTCCCTTGTCCCCTCCCAGGACTGACCCCAGCCCCTCCCACTTGTCCCCATCCCTGTCACTCCCAGTGTCCCCACTGTGTCCCCAACCCCTCTCTCCTGTCCCCATGGGTGTCCCCGTTTCTCCCTTTTTGCCCCATCCCCAGCCATGTCCCCAGCAGTGTCCCCCTGTCCCCAGCCGTGTCCCTGGCCATGTCCCCTGTCCCCAGCCGTGTCCCCTGTCCCCAGCCATGTCCCCAGCCATGTCCCCTGTCCCCAGCCGTGTCCCCTGTCCCCAGCCATGTCCCCAGCCATGTCCCCTGTCCCCAGCCGTGTCCCCTGTCCCCAGCCATGTCCCCAGCCATGTCCCCTGTCCCCCCGCCCGCGGTGGCCGGGGAGGTGACAGCGCTGTCCCCAGGGATCCTGCCCAACGTGTACGACCCCCCCGCGGGGCTGTGCTGGGACCAGCTCTGCACCGACCCCCCCGTGGTGGACGGGGACGGCCCCGAGCGCAACGTGGACGCCGTGGTCACCTCCTTCCTGCAGGCAGCGGCCACCCAGGTCCTGCCGGGGGGACTGGGACCCCCGGGGGGGGTTCCCAAAGGTCCCTGTCCCACTGGGGTGGGGGTCCCCAGTGTCCCTGTCCCCTGGGGTGGGATCCCTGGGTGTCCCTGTCTCCTGGATGGGATCCTGAGTGTCCCTGTCCCCTGGGGTGGGTGTCCTGGGTGTCCCTGTCCCCCTGGGGTGGGATCCCTGGGTGTCCCTGTCCCCCTGAGATGGGTTTTTTGGGTGTCCCTGTCCCCCTGGGATGGGATCCTGGCATGTCCCTGTCCCCTAGGGTGGGTGTCCTGGGTGTCCCTGTCCCCTGGGGTGGGTGTCCTGGGTGTCCCTGTCCCCTGGGGTGGGTGTCCTGGGTGTCCCTGTCCCCTGGGGTGGGTGTCCTGGGTGTCCCTGTCCCCTGGGGTGGGTGTCCTGGGTGTCCCTGTCCCCTGGGGTGGGATCCTGAGTGTCCCTGTCCCCTGGGGTGGGATGCTGAGTGTCCCTGTCCCCTGGGGTGGGATGCTGAGTGTCCCTGTCCCCTGGGGTGGGATGCTGAGTGTCCCTGTCCCCCTGGGGTGGGATCACTGGGTGTCCCTGTCTCCTGGATGGGATCCTGAGTGTCCCTGTCCCCTGGGGTGGGGGTCCTGAGTGTCCCTGTCCCCCTGGGGTGGGATGCTGAGTGTCCTGTCCCCCTGGGGTGGGATCACTGGGTGTCCCTGTCTCCTGGATGGGATCCTGAGTGTCCCTGTCCCCTGGGGTGGGGGTCCTGAGTGTCCCTGTCCCCCTGGGGTGGGATGCTGAGTGTCCTGTCCCCCTGGGGTGGGATCACTGGGTGTCCCTGTCTCCTGGATGGGATCCTGAGTGTCCCTGTCCCCTGGGGTGGGGGTCCTGAGTGTCCCTGTCCCCCTGGGGTGGGATCCCTGGGTGTCCCTGTCCTCTGAGATGGGGATCCTGAGTGTCCCTGTTCCCTGGGATGGGATTCCTGAGGGTCCCTGTCCCCCTGGGATGGGATTCCTGAGGGTCCCTGTCCCCCTGGGATGGGATTCCTGAGGGTCCCTGTCTGTCCTTGTCCCCTGGGATGGGTTTTTTGGGTGTCCTGGGTGTCCCTGTCCCCTGGGATGGGATTCCTGGGGGTCCCTGTTCCCCTGGGATGGTTTTTATATGTGTCCCTGTCCCCGTGGGGTGGGGTTCCTGGCTGTCCCCGTGCCTCAGGCAGGGGTCCCTGGCTGTCCCTGTCCCCCTGGGGTGGGTTCCCTGGCTGTCCCCGTGCCCCGGGCGGGGGTCCCGAGCCGTGTCCCCCTCCCCAGGCCCGGCACTACCGCACCAACCACATCCTGATGACCATGGGCTCCGACTTCCACTACGAGAACGCCAACCTGTGGTTCAAGAACCTGGACAAGCTCATTGCCCACACCAATGCCCGGGTGAGGGGCTGTCCCCAACGCCCCTCTGATGTCCCCAAACCCCTCCACGATGTCCCCAACCCCCCCCGGCCGTCCCTGCCCCCCCCCCTCTGTCCCCAGCAAGCCAACGGCAGCCGCGTCCACGCCCTGTACTCCACCCCCTCCTGTTACCTGTGGGAGCTGCACCGGGCCAACCTCACCTGGTGAGGGAGGGGCCGAGGGGCAGGGGAGGGGCCGAGGGGCAGGCAGGACGGACAGACAGACAGCTGGGGTGTCCCCCAGGCCCCTGAAGACGGACGATTTCTTCCCCTACTCGGACGGGCCCCACCAGTTCTGGACCGGCTACTTCAGCAGCCGCCCGGCCTTCAAGGGCTACGAGCGGCTCAGCAGCGGCTTCCTGCAGGTGGGGGGCGCCTGGGGGACCCCTCCAGGCCTCGGGGACCCCCCTGTCGAGCACCAGGGACCCCCCTCAAACACCGATTTCACCCCCCAGATCTGCAGCCAGCTGGAAGCCCTGGCCGGGCCCTCGGCACGGGACGGTCCCTACGGCCCTGGGGACAGCTCGGTGCTCCGTGAGTACCTGGTGGGGGACACCTGGAGGGGACCTGGGGACCCCCCCAGACCCCCCTGAGACCCCCTTTTCTTTTCCCCTGGCCAAGGTGAGGCCGTGGCCGTGGCCCAGCACCACGACGCCGTGGCCGGCACCGAGAGGCAGCACGTGGCCGACGACTACGCCCGGCAGCTGGCCAAGGGCTGGGACAGCTGCCAGGTGAGCCCCACACCTGCCCGGGGGTCCAGGTGGGGTTTGGAGGACAAAGGTGGGGCTGGGGATGTCCCGGAGACCCCCCCCCCCTAAATTCCAACCACCCCTGGCAGGTTCTGGTGGCCAACGCCCTGTCCCTCCTGGGGGGCACCAAGGACCCCCTGGTGTTCTGCAACGCCCTCAACATCAGCGTGTGCCCCCTCAGCGAGACCACCCCTCACGTGAGCACCTGGGGAGGGGCTTTGTGGGGGTGTTCCGGGGGTCCCCAAGGACTGACACCACCGTGTGACCCCTCCCCAGTTCACCGTGATCCTCTACAACCCCCTGGCCTGGGGCGTGACCTGGCCCGTGCGGCTGCCGGTCGGGGCCACCTCGTACTCTGTGACCGACCCTCAGGGCCAGCCCGTGGCCAGCCAGGTGAGCCCCTCGCCCACCTGTACCCACCAAACCCCCTTGTCACCCTCTGTCACCCCTGACCTGTCCCTGTCACCCCCCCCAGGTGATCCCGGTGTCCGGCGTGACCCGGCGGCTGCGGGGCGGCGCCGGGAGGGCCCCGTGGGAGCTCCTGTTCCAGGCCTGGGCCCCCCCCTTGGGGTTCAGCACCTTTGAGGTGAAGCAGCTGAGCCCGGGAACCCTGTGGGACACCTCCAGGTGGCCCTCGGGGACCCCCTGGGACCCTCCCAGGTGGCCCTCGGGGGACCCAGAGCCGCAGATTGAGAACGAGGTGAGGGGACATCGAGGTGAGGGGACATCGAGGTGAGGGGACATCGGGGAGGGACGTGGATTTTGGGGGGTGGCTGGGCAGGGGGCTGAGTGCCAGCTCCCAGTTAAACCAGTTAGGGGGTGACTGGGTGGCCTGGGGGGGTGGGGGTGACCCACCTGTGTCCCCCCTCCCCAGCACCTGCGGGTCCGGTTCGACCCCGTCACGGGGCACCTGCTGGAGATCCAGAACCTGGCCAAGGGCATCTCTCTGCCCGTCTTCCAGAGCTTCTACTGGTGAGTCCGGGGGCACCCCCGAGGATTTTGGGGAGGGGTCCCAGCTGGGGGGGATCCCCCTGAGCTCCCCTGGCCCCCCCAGGTACAACGCCAGCGCCGGGGACGGGCTCAGCCCCCAGGCCTCGGGTGCTTACATCTTCCGGCCCAACGCCTCCGCGCCCATCCCCGTGGCCAAACGCGCGGCCACGCACCTGCTCAAGGTGGGCGGGGGTCCCGGGGGCGTCCCTCGGATTTGGGGAGGGGGTCTGCAGACGTCACTGAGCGTCCCTGTGCCCCCCGCAGACGGCGCTGGTGCAGGAGGTGCAGCAGAACTTCTCGGCGTGGTGCTCGCAGGTGCTGCGGCTGCGCCCGGGGCAGCCTTACCTGGAGCTGGAGTGGACCGTGGGGCCCATCCCCGTGGCGTGAGTGTGGGGAGGGGGCTGGGGACCCCCAAAGCTGCTCTGGGGACCCCCCCCCCCGGTGACACGCCCGTGTCCCCCAAAAGGGACGGGCTGGGCAAGGAGGTGATCAGCCGCTTCGAGACGCCGCTGCGCACGGCCGGCCGCTTCTTCACCGACTCCAACGGGCGCCAGGTGCTGGAGCGCAGGTGAGGGGGCTCAGGGGACCCCCGGGACCCCCCCAGGGGCTCGCTGGGACCCCTGTGACCCCCCCCCGGGCCACCCCAGGCGTGACTACCGGCCCACCTGGAACCTGAGCCAGAGCGAGCCCGTGGCAGGGAATTACTACCCTGTGAACACCCGGATCTTCATCAAGGTACCTGGGTACACCTGGGCACACCTGGGCACACCTGGGGCTGGACAGGGCACACCTAGGGCTGGGCAGAGCACACCTGGGCACAGCTGGGCACAGCTGGATCTGGGCAAGGAACACCTGAGTACACCTGGGCACAGCTGGGGCTGAGCATGGCATACCTGGGCACAGCTGGGGCTGGGTAGGGCACACCTGGGGCGGGGCAGAGCACACCTGGGCACAGCTGGGCACACCTGGGGCTGGGCAGGGAACACCTGGGGTTGGGCAGGGCACAGCTGGGGACTGGCAGGGCACAGCTGGGTGCACCTGGACCTGGCCAGGGCACACCAGGGCACACCTGGGGCTGTGCAGAGCACACCTGGGGCTGGCCAGGGCACACCTGGGCACACCTGGGGCTGGGCAGGGCATACCTGGGGCTGGCCAGGGCACACCTGGGCACACCTGGGGCCGGGCAGGGCACACCTGGGCACACCTGAGGCTGGGTAGGGCATACCTGGGGCTGTGTAGAGCACACCTGGGCACACCTGGGGCTGGGTAGGGCATACCTGGGCACACCTGGGGCTGTGCAGAACACACCTGGGGCCAGCCAGGGCACACCTGGGGCTGGGCAGAGCACACCTGCGCACACCTGAGGCTGGGTAGGGCATACCTGGGGCTGTGTAGAGCACACCTGGGCACACCTGGGGCCGGCCAGGGCACACCTGGGCACACCTGAGGCTGGGTAGGGCATACCTGGGGCTGTGTAGAGCACACCTGGGCACACCTGGGGCTGGGTAGGGCATACCTGGGCACACCTGGGGACGGGCAGGGCACACCTGGGCACACCTGGGGCTGGGTAGGGCATACCTGGGGCTGCGTAGAGCACACCTGGGCACACCTGGGGCTGGGTAGGGCATACCTGGGCACACCTGGGGACGGGCAGGGCACACCTGGGCACACCTGGGAGCAGCCAGGGCACACCTGGGCCCACCTGGGGCCAGCCAGGGCACACCTGGACCCCGCCCCACACCCGCGCCCCCCGCGCAGGACGAGAAGCTGCAGCTGACGGTGCTGACGGATCGCTCGCAGGGCGGCAGCAGCCTCCTGGACGGCTCCCTGGAGCTGATGGTGAGCTGGGCACACCTGGCGGGGGGGGGCACCCCGAGGCCGGGCACACCTGCGCCATCACCCGCGCCCTGCAGGTGCACCGGCGGCTGCTGAACGACGACAACCGGGGGCTGCGGGAGCCGCTGGACGAGCCGGGGGCCGACGGGCGGGGGCTGGTGGTGCGGGGCCGGCACCTGGTGCTGCTGGACACAGCGGCCGCGGCGGCCGAGCAGCACCGGCCGCGGGCACAGGAGACGGTGACACCGCCCGCCCTGGTGCTGGCACCGGGCACGGGGCCTCACCTGCGCCAGGTGAGCGCCCTCTCCTGCGCCAGGTGATGGGCCAGGGTCTCCTGTGCTCACCTGCACCAGGTGAGGGCCCCGCCCTCCCACGCTCACCTGGCCGCGCCCCCGCAGGTGTCGGGGCTGCGCCGGGCGCTGCCCCCCAACGTGCACCTGCTGACGCTGGAGCCGCGCGGCGCCGGCGCCGTCCTGCTGCGCCTGGAGCACCTGTTCCAGGTGGGGGAGAGCCACAACGGCTCCCGGGCTGCCAGCGTGGACCTGACGGTACCTGGGCATCAACGGGGTCACACCTGGGGAGGGGTCACACCTGGGCATCAACGGGGTCACACCTGGGGAGGGGTCACACCTGGGGATGAATGGAGTCACACCTGGGCATCAACGGAGTCACACCTGGGATGGGGTCACACCTGGGGAGGGGTCACACCTGGGCATCAAGGGGGTCACATCTGGGCATCAAGGGGGTCACACCTGGGGAGGGGTTACACCTGGGGATGAACAGGGTCACACCTGGGATGGGGTCACACCTGGGGAGGGGGTCACACCTGAGGATGGGTCACACCTGGGGATGGAGTCACACCTGGGGAGAGGTCACACCTGGGGATGGGGTTACACCTGGGATGGGGTCACACCTGGGGATGAATGGGGTCACACCTGGGGAGGGGGTCACACCTGGGGATGGGGTTACACCTGGGAAGGGGGCCACACCTGGGAATGAATGGGGTCACATCTGGGATGGCATCACACCTGGAACGGGGTCACACCTGGGGATGGGGTTACACCTGGAGATGGGGTTACACCTGGGGATGGGGTTACACCTGGAGATGGGATCACACCTGGGGATGGGGTTACACCTGGAATAGGATCACACCTGGAATGGGGTCACACCTGGAATGGGGTCACACCTGGGGACAGGTTCACACCTGGGATGGGGTCACACCTGGGGAGAGGTTACACCTGGAATAGGGTCACACCTGGGGAGCAGGGTCACACCTGGAACGGGGTCACACCTGGAATGGGATCACACCTGGAACGGGGTCACACCTGGGGAGAGGTTACACCTGGAATAGGGTCACACCTGGGGAGCAGGGTCACACCTGGAACGGGGTCACACCTGGAATGGGATCACACCTGGAACGGGGTCACACCTGGGGAGAGGTTACACCTGGGGAGGGGTCACACCTGGAACGGGGTCACACCTGCAATGGGGTCTGGGAGCCACTGCCAGGGGGGCTGAGCCTGAGGGCTCACCTGTGCCAGGTGAGGGGCTGTGGCATCACCTGTGCCAGGTGACAGTTTTGGGGGTCCTGAGACTGCTCCGGGGGTCTCTGCCCCCTTCCCCCAACCTAGGTTGGGCTTTGGGGGGTCTCTGACAGTCCCCCCAGCCCAGACTGGGCTCTGGGGTATTTGGGGTGAGTCTGGGGGGTCTCTAACAGCCCCGGACTGGGCTCTGGGGGGGGGGGGGGGTTTGGCCACTGGGGGGGTGGGCGGGGGGGGGGGGGGGTCTCTGACAGCCCCCCAGCTTGGGTTGAGCTCTGGGGTGTTTGGGGTGGCTCTGGGGGGTCTCTAACAGCCCCGGGCTGGGCTCTGGGGTATTTGGGGTGGCTCTGGGGGGTCTCTGACAGCCCCCCCAGGCCCAGACTGGGCTCTGGGGTCTTTGGGGTGGCTCTGGGGGGTCTCTGACAGCCCCCCCAGCCCAGACTGGGCTCTGGGGTCTTTGGGGTGGCTCTGGGGGGTCTCTAACACCCCCCCCAGGCCCAGACTGGGCTCTGGGGTATTTGGGGTGGCTCTGGGGGGTCTCTGACAGCCCCCCCAGCCCAGACTGGGCTCTGGGGTATTTGGGGTGGCTCTGGGGGGTCTCTGACAGCCCCCCCAGGTCAGTCTGGGCTCTGGGGTCTTTGGGGGTCACACCTGGAACGGGGTCACACCTGGAATGGGATCACACCTGGAACGGGGTCACACCTGGGGAGAGGTTACACCTGGGGAGGGGTCACACCTGGAACGGGGTCACACCTGGAATGGGGTCACACCTGGAATGGGGTCTGGGAGCCACTGCCAGGGGGGCTGAGCCTGAGGGCTCACCTGTGCCAGGTGAGGGGCTGTGGCATCACCTGTGCCAGGTGACAGTTTTGGGGGTCCTGAGACTGCTCCGGGGGTCTCTGCCCCCTTCCCCCAACCTAGGTTGGGCTTTGGGGGGTCTCTGACAGCCCCCCCAGCCTAAACTGGGCTCTGGGGTATTTGGGGTGAGTCTGGGGGGTCTCTAACAGCCCCGGACTGGGCTCTGGGGGGTCTCTGACAGCCCCCCAGCCTAAACTGGGCTCTGGGGTATTTGGGGTGGCTCTGGGGGGTCTCTGACAGCCCCCCCAGGTCAGTCTGGGCTCTGGGGTATTTGGGGTGGCTCTGGGGGGTCTCTGACAGCCCCGGGCTGGGCTCTGGGTCTTTGGGGTGGCTCTGGGGGGTCTCTGACAGCCCCCCCAGGTCAGTCTGGGCTCTGGGGTCTTTGGGGTGGCTCTGGGGGGTCTCTGACAGCCCCCCAGCTTGGGTTGAGCTCTGGGGTATTTGGGGTGGCTCTGGGGGGTCTCTGACAGCCCCCCAGCCCAGACTGGGCTCTGGGGTATTTGGGGTGAGTCTGGGGGGTCTCTAACAGCCCCGGACTGGGCTCTGGGGGGTCTCTGACAGCCCCCCAGCCCAGACTGGGCTCTGGGGTATTTGGGGTGAGTCTGGGGGGTCTCTAACAGCCCCGGACTGGGCTCTGGGGGGTCTCTGACAGCCCCCCCAGCCTAAACTGGGCTCTGGGATATTTGGGGTGGCTCTGGGGGGGGTCTCTGACAGCCCCCCAGCTTGGGTTGAGCTCTGCGGTATTTGGGGTGGCTCTGGGGGGTCTCTAACAGCCCCCCCAGCCCAGACTGGGCTCTGGGGTATTTGGGGTGGCTCTGGGGGGTCTCTAACCCCCCCCCCCCCACCCCCAGACCCTTTTCTCGGCCTTCACCATCACCTCAGTGCAGGAGATGGCGCTGGGGGGGGACATCCCCCTGCACAGCGTGTCCCGCCTGCTCTGGAACACACCCACAGGTATGGGGGGCTTGAGGGGGCTTTGGGGGGGGTCCTGGGGGTCTCAGCCCCCTCCTCACATCCCTCACGACCCCCCCCAGGCACCCCCAAAGCCCGGCCTGTGGCCAGGCTGGACCCGCGCCGCGTGCGGCTGGAGCCGATGGAGATCCGAACCTTCCTGGCCTCTGTGCGGTACCGGGGGCCGGGGGGGTCCTGAGAAACCCCCCACCCCAAAAAAAAAGAATCCAACTCAACCCCCCCGAGTCGGGTCAGACGTGTTTTAATGGGGAGGGGGCAGCCGGGGGGGGCTCGTGGGAGTAGCAGCACTGCTCACCGTGGGGACAGGTGCCCTGTGGGGGGGACAAAAAGGGGGGCTGGGACCTGCCCCAAGACCCCCCCTCTGCGTTCACAGACCCCCCTCTGCATTCACAGACCCCCCTCTGCACAGGCACCCCCAAAGCCCGGCCTGTGGCCAGGCTGGACCCGCGCCGCGTGCGGCTGGAGCCGATGGAGATCCGAACCTTCCTGGCCTCTGTGCGGTCCCGGGGGCCGGGGGGGTCCTGAGAAACCCCCCACCCCAAAAAAAAAGAATCCAACTCAACCCCCCCGAGTCGGGTCAGACGTGTTTTAATGGGGAGGGGGCAGCCGGGGGGGGCTCGTGGGAGTAGCAGCACTGCTCACCGTGGGGACAGGTGCCCTGTGGGGGGGACAAAAAGGGGGGCTGGGACCTGCCCCAAGACCCCCCCTCTGCGTTCACAGACCCCCCTCTGCATTCACAGACCCCCCTCTGCATTCACAGACCCCCCCTCAAATTCCCAGACCCCCCCCTCAAATTCCCAGACCCCCTCCCCACATTCCCAGCCACCCCCACTTTTATTCTCCATTTTATTTCCCCAAATCCTTTTTCCCTTTATTTCCTGGACCTCCCACCCCCCATTCCTGGACCCCTCCCTCTATTCCCACCCTCCCCCTGACTATTTTAGGGATCCCCTGGTTATTTTTGGGGACCCTCCCCCCGTATTTTGGAGCCCCCTCCCCACCTCCTTGAAGCGTTTGCAGGGGAATTGTTTCAGCCCGGCCCCGTCCGGCTGCTGCTTCCTCTTGTTCTGGAGCCTCTCCCTCTTCTCCTGCAGGGAGGGGGCGATGCCCCCCCTGGAAAGGCCGGGAATGAGCTGAAGACCCCCACCCAAAAAAGGGGAGAGGGTGAAGGACCCCCCCAAAAAAGGGGAGAGGGCTAGGGACCCCCCCAAAAAAGGGGAGAGGGCGAGGGGCTCCCCTCTCAAAAACAGAGCTCGGGGTTCGTCTCTTCCCCCTTTTTAGGGGGATTCTGCCCCACCAGAGTGAAAAAATGGGGGAATGTCCCCCTTGGGAAGGGTGGGGGGCGCCTGAACCCCCAAACCGGCCCCCCCCAGGCCTCACCCTGGCTTGGCCCTGGCCTTGGGACCCCAAAACGCTTCGGGGTTCTCGGGGAATCGCTTCAAGCCGCGCTTCCGCGAGCTGGGGTTGGCGTCCTCGTGGAGGGCAAAGGAAGCCTGGAGCCTGGCAGGGGGGTAAAGAGGAGGGGGTCAGGGGGTTTGGAGGGGTCTGGGGTCCCCCCAAACCCCCACCCCACCCCACTCTGGGGGTCCTACGTGGGCTCCACCGAGAGGATCCGGGCGGCCGGGCTGGATTCCGGGAGCCGCTCCAGCTTCACCGGGTGGAGCTTGGCCTGGGAAAAGGGTGGGAAAAAGAGGGAAGAAGTGGGAAAAGGGGGTTCAGCCCCCCTGCCCCAACCCCCCCGAGCGTGGGGAGGGGTCCCCGAGCCCCCTCCTCGCTCACCCAGCAGCGCATGATGTCCCAGAGCACGGAGGGCGGCGCGTCCGTCTTGACGGCGTTGCGGCAGGCGTGGGACAGCGAGACGCGGAACCCCGCGTGCAGCAGGGCTGACCTGGGGGGCACGGGGGTTTGGGGGGGGTCGGGATGGGTTTGGGGGGTCAGGATGGGGTTTGGGGAATCCTTGAGGGGGTTTGGAGAGTCCCTGAGGGGGTTTGGGGGGGGTCAGGATGGGGTTTGAGGGGTCCCTGAGGGGGTTTGGGGGGTCAGGATGGAGTTTGGGGGATCCTTGAGGGGGTTTGGGGGTGCCAGAGGGGGTTTGGAGGGGTCAGGATGGGGTTTGAGGGGTCCCTGAGGGGGTTTGGGGGGGTCAGGACAGGGTTTGGGGGGGCCAGAATGGGGTTTGGTGGTCCCTGAAGGATTTCGGGGAGGCCAGGATGGGGTTTTGGGGTCCCTGAACAGATTTGGGGTCCCTTGTGGGGGTTTTGGGGGTCCCTAAAGGGGTTTGGGATCCCTGAATGGGTTTGGGGTCCCCTGAGGGGGTTTTGGGGGTTGCTAAAGGGGTTTTGGGGTCCCAAAAGGAGTTTGGGGGGGGTCCCCGAGGGTGTTTTGGGATTCCCTGGGGGGAATTTGGGGGTCCCAAAAGAGGTTTGGAGGTTTTGGTGTCCCATAAGGGGTTAGGGGCTCCCTGAGGGAGTTTTGGGGGTCCCTGGGGGGGATTTGGGGGTCCCTAAAGGGGTTTTGGTGTCCCATAAGGGGTTAGGGGCTCCCCGAGGTGGTTTTGGGGGTTGCTAAAGGGGTTTTGGGGTCCCTGAAGGGATTTGGGGTCCCCTGAGGGGGTTTTGGGGGTCCCTGAAGGAGTTTGGGGAGGGGGATTTGGGGGTCCCTAAAGAGGTTTTGGTGTCCCATAAGGGGTTAGGGGCTCCCTGAGGGAGTTTTGGGGGTCCCTGGGGGGGATTTGGGGGTCCCTAAAGAGGTTTTGGTGTCCCATAAGGGGTTAGGGGCTCCCTGAGGGAGTTTTGGGGGTCCCTGGGGGGGATTTGGGGGTCCCTAAAGAGGTTTTGGTGTCCCATAAGGGGTTAGGGGCTCCCTGAGGGGGTTTTGGGGGTCCCTGGGGGGGATTTGGGGGTCCCTAAAGAGGTTTTGGTGTCCCATAAGGGGTTAGGGGCTCCCCGAGGTGGTTTTGGGGGTCCCTGGGGGGGATTTGGGGGTCCCTAAAGGGGTTTTGGTGTCCCATAAGGGGTTAGGGGCTCCCCGAGGTGGTTTTGGGGGTTGCTAAAGGGGTTTTGGGGTCCCTGAATGGATTTGGGGTCCCCTGAGGGGGTTTTGGGGGTCCCTGAAGGAGTTCGGGGAGGGGTCCCTGGGGGGGATTTGGGGGTCCCCACCTGAGCTGCAGCAGGGAGGGCGTGTTGCTGCGGATGGTGCTGCTCAGCCCGTCCAGGGTGTAGTACAGCGGGACATCGCTCAGCTCCTGCCCCACCACCAGCCCCACGATCACAGCCAGCCCCGCCACCGGGGTGCCCCCCAACCCCAAATGTCCCCCCCCGGGGGTCTCCCCCAGACCGGGGGTGTCCCCCAGACCGGGGGTGTCCCCTCTCCCCGGGGTCACCTCGGCGATGACGCTCAGCATCCCCCGCATGCGCGGCTCCGTGGAGAAGCGCCCGGGGCTCCGCTCCAGCGCCGCCAGCACCCCCTCCACAAAGGCGGGGTCGTGGAGGGGCTCAGCCCACACCGGGCCCCCCACCTTTAGTGGGGAACAAAAAAAAGGGGGTTCGGGGTCCCGTTTGGGGGTGCCGAGGTTTTGGGGAGGGGGGCTGCACGCACCTGGTGGCGCTGCTGGCAGAACTCGCAGGTCGGACCCACGGGCGGCCCCGTGGCCGCGCTGTACTTGAAGCTGGAGTGGGTGACACGTGGTTAAACCCCCCCAAAAAAATCGTGGGGACCCCCAAAGGGTCTCGAGGAACCCCAAAATGGCTCTGGGGGGGGTGGGGATGGGGGGGCTGTACCCGCTGCCGTGGCTGGTGGCCCTGCCCAGGCGCTGCAGGTGGTACGAGCCGCACCCCACGCACTGGAACACCAGCGCCTGCTTGCTGGGGGGGAAACAGAGTCAGGGCGGGTCTGGGGGGGCACAGAGACCCCCCAAAACCCCCCCGAAGCCCCCCCAAGTCACCTGGCCGAGGCCTTGACCTTGGCCTGGCCCGTGAAGACCCTGACGAAGACGCGCACGTAGAAGTCGGCGCTGACCGACAGCAGCGGCACCACGAAGCGCTGGTAGCAGTTGGCGCGGAGGTCGAGGCTGTGCAGGACGATCCTCAGGGCCTGCCAGGGGACAGAGGGGACAAAAAGGGACATGGGACACCCCCCTGCAGCCCCCCCCGGAGCAGGGGACCCCCCCCCAGCACTGACCATCTCGTGGCAGAACTTGCCCTTGAGGGACACGGCGCCGTATTTGCTGTAGCAGGTCTCGGAGCTGTTGCCGGCCATCACCGCCATGTCCGTGCAGGTCACGCACAGCAAGCCTGGGAAATCGGGGTTCAGGGGGGTTCAGGGGGGTCCGGGCAGGGGTTTGGCGGTCCCCAAGAGCCCCCCCAGACTCACCCCCCTCGCTGACGGCCTGCACGGCCGCGTCCAGGAAGGGCGCGGGGCTCCCGTAGGGGTCCAGGTCGATGACGTCGAAGGGTTCCCGCTGGGCTTTGCTTTCGTACATCAACATCCTGGGGGGCACACGGGGGTCCCCAGAGACCCCCCCCAAACCCTCAGCACCCCTTTGGGGACCCCCCAACCCCTCCCCCCCAGCCTTTGGGACCCCCTCAGTGCGGTCCCAGCTTGGGAGGCAGGGCGGTCTCTGACGCAGCTCGGCGACATTGGGACAAATTCTGGGGGGAAAAGGGTTTTGGGGACCCCCAGAACCCCCCCAGAGACCCCAAAGCGGGGCAGGAGGTCTCGGGGCGCCCATGGGGACACTCTGGGGACAGCTCCTGGCACAGCCCCAAAGGCCCAGGCACTGCTGCGGGCTGAGCCCCGTTCCCAGAGGGATTTGGGGTCACCTGGTGTGATCCTAATGGGGTTTGGGGTCACCTGGCCCAGTTCCAGTGGGGATTTGGGTTTGGGGTCACCTGGTGTGATCCTAATGGGGTTTGGGGTCACCTGGTGTGATCCTAATGGGGTTTGGGGTCACCTGGTGTGATCCTAATGGGGTCTGGGGACACCTGGCATAATCCCTGTTAGGGTTTGGGGTCACCTGCAATGATCCCATTGGGTTTTGGGGTTACCCGGCCCAGTCCCAATGGGATTTGGGGTCACCCGGCCCAGCCCAGCGGGATTTGGGGATTTGGGGTCACCTAGCACAATCCCTTTTGGGGATTTGGGGTCACCTGGCACAGTCCCTGTGGGATTTGGGGTTTTGGGGTCACCTGGCACAATCCCAGCGGGATTTGGGGTCACCTGGCACAATCCCTGTTGGGGATTTGGGGTCACCTGGCCCAGCCCAGCGGGATTTGGGGATTTGGGGTCACCCAGCCCAGTCCCAGTGGGATTTGGGGGTTCAGGCTCACCCGGCCCAGCCCAGCGGGATTTGGGGTCACCCGGCCCATCCCAGCGGGATTTGGGGGTTCAGGCTCACCCGGCCCAGCCCAGCGGGATTTGGGGTCACCCGGCCCAGTCCCAGCGGGATTTGGGGTTCAGGCTCACCCGGCCCTGCCCAGCGGGACTTGGAGATTTGGGGTCACCTGGCATAATCCCTGTGGGATTTGGGGTTCAGGGTCACCTGGCCCAGTCCCAGTGGGATTTGGGGTCACCCGGCCCAGTCCCAGTGGGATTTGGGGGTTCAGGCTCACCCTGCCCTGTCCCAGCGGGATTTGGGGTCGTTGGGGATTTGGGGTCACCTGGCCCAGTCCCAGTGGGATTTGGGGTCACCTGGCACAATCCCTGTTGGGGATTTGGGGTCACCTGGCACAATCCCTGTGGGATGTGGGGTGCAGGCTCACCTGGCGTCGGCCAGGCGCGGCGTCACCGTGTCCCCGACGCCGTTGCGGGCCACGTTGCGCGCCATCAGCTCGGCGGCGCGCGGGGAGCGGTCGCTGGCAACCACGGCGCCGAGCCCCGGCACCTCGCGGGCAAAGCGCACCGAGCGCAGCGCCGAGGCCGCCAGCGCCTCCAGCACCCGCAGCCCGCCCCCCTTTTTA